TGCCTGTACATCGTAGTTGTGATTGGTGTTGTATTGCAAAATCATACCATCTGGCTCTTACACGACTCGATATCAGATAAAAATAGAGAGTGTCACTTCTTTAAAATTAGAAATTTTTGGGTTTTTCCCCAGCAGCCCGTAAAACCCCTTCCTTACAGGGTTTTGGGCCAATTTAAAATTGCCTAAAAAATAATGGTATTCCATCTTCTACTATGGGAAAAACTTCAAGATGGGCTTTCCTATTCTAGATTGGGTTTCCAAAATAAGAATAGTAGCTTACACATTAAAGTTTGTTTCATTTTACTTTTAAATTTGTTGTACTTAAATTTTCTACCACTTTTTGGGGCCTCACAGCGATAGGGGTTTTTAAGTACAATCCCTTTAAAACTAAGGTGTACAAAAAAAATTTATTGGGGGGTACTTTTTTTTTTTTTTAAAACGTAAGGATAGGATTTTTCTTTTTTAAAAATTTTGTCGTAAAAATTTCTACAGACCTCCCAAATAAAAAGGAAAACATATATAAGATGGGGTTAAAAGATTTTTTAAAAAACTTTTCAGGATACCCAAAGTTGTGTAATGTTCGAATACCAAATTGTTCCGAAAATGATTCTGTCACGGTATTAAACTGTTCTCTAATCAGGGGAGGTAGGCGGACGGATAGCTCAGTCATTCCGCACTACGGTATTCCGAGGGTCCCAGGTTTGAGTCTCGATTAGGCTGCACATTAAAAAATCATTTAACTTTTTTTTTAAATGGAGGTGTTTCAATCGTAACTCATTGAGAAAAACATATTTAGTGAGTAAAGTATGTAAGGGATCAACTGAGAGGAAACTTTTTTAGGGAAACCTGATCTGATTCCTCCATTGCAGAATTACCGTCTGAATGCAAGTGTTGTATTGCTTTGAAAATTGTACATGTTATCTCTACTTAGTGTTGTAGAACTAAATCCTACCGTCTGTTTGATCCCTATCATACTTTTCTCTATAATTTTTTTTTCTCCATGAGTAATGATTGAAACTCCTCCATTCTTTTATAAAAAGTCTATAATTTCATGGGGCATGTAATGTGCACCCTGACAGGGCTCGCACCTGGAAATTCGGAAACTGTACTGCGCTCTACTGCATCAACCCGCTAAAAAATCCACCCCTGTTAGTGGCAGTTAAACCCCGTGACAAAATCTTATTTTTGAAAAAATTTGGGTTCGAACATCCCACATTCGGGTTCCAAAAAATTTTTTAAAACATTTTTACCCATTTTTTTTATGTTTACATTTACCCCTTAAAATGTTCATTGGAAAAAATTGGGGAAAATCTGTCCCCTGCCGTGGGAGACTGTACAACAAGTTTTTAAGGATTCAATTCTGCTGTGTTGGGTTTTCTTGGGGTTCTGTAATTTCTTTTTTATGATAAATCCGTGTTTTTGCCCCCCGTGTGGCGGCTGAAAAAATCTCCCGTACATCTATAAATATGTTTTTTTTCGACCCTTAAAGATCGTTCAGCACCTTATTGTTGTGCTTGGGGTTTTTTTAGTTTAAATTTTTTGGGCTTTTCTAGTTGGGGGGTTTTTCCAATTTTCCCTATTGAATAATGTTAAATCACCTTAGGATATTTGCCGCTTTTTAAAATTTGTTTTTTTGACGTCTTTCTGTGTACGTAGGTTTTAAAACCCTTGACCCCCTTTCAAATTCCATTTTATTTAGTTCCCCCTTTTTTTTCTTTTAGGACACACTTTTTTATTTATTAGGCCCATACCCCGCTTTTCTGAAGGCAGGGAAAGGTTTAAATTTAAAGGTTCCATGAAAACCGCCTTTGAAAACTTTGAAAATTTTTTAAAATTCAAAATGTTACTTTTCATTTTTTAAAGTTAAATTTGTTTAAGGCCGGTGCGGGACGGGGGGAAAACTTGCACTTTCCAGTCCCGCCCATAAACGGCTCAATCAAACCGAGCCCAACTTTTAAATTTTCCCGTTTTGGGTTTCTTTGGGATTCAAATTAAAATCTTTTTTAAAAATAGAAATTCATTGTTTCTTGCCCAAAAAAAAATTTTGTAAAAGGGAAAAAATGTATAAAATTGGTTTTGGTACACTTTTGCTTGGTCCTTGTTGTTTTTCGTCTAGGGAAAAATTTCCCCGTCACCCCTATTTTTTTTTCTTTTTTTCCCCCCCCCCCCCCTTTCTGGTCTCCGCCCCCTTTCCCCTGGCCCTTCATTTTGGGGCCGTTATTCATCTTATTTTTTTTTTTTTAATTTCCTTCAGTTAAAAATTTATTTATCATTTAGTGTTTTAAACTGCTGCTCTTGTGCCCTGTCCTTTTTTTCTTTTGGGGGGTCCGCGGGGTCTTCCACTTTTTTGTTGCTGGGTATATGGGGGGGTTTATTGAACGCCGCCTTCCCTTTTTATTTAATTCAATTCAAAAAGGTCGTTTTAATTAAAACCCTTTATCCATATTTTTAATACAGTTTTCCCCAGCATTAAAACAAATTTTGTTTTGCTTATTTTTCTAAAAATTTTAAACAGTCAGAAATTAAAAATTGCATTTTTTGGGTTTAAAGGATATGAAAGATACTGTGAAATTATTTTTTTTTATTCCCATTGCAGGAGTGTTTTCAACTAAAACACCTACCTCTTTGCCTCACTTTCCATGAAAAGGTCTCTTCGTAAAACGGAAAATTAATGATCGGCTAGGAGTCTTTGGTTTATATTTTTAAAATTATAAAAAAATTAAAATATTAAATTTACAATTGTTCCCTTTACTTCTTAAATAAGTCCTTTTTTCAATTGACAAAAACCAATATTTTCTCTTGACTTTTATTTTAAAAAATAGGAAAAAAAAAAGCGAAAAAATTTTTTTGGTTTGTATTAAAAAAAAAGGAAAATTGATAAAATGATAAAAAAAAAAACCTTTAAAAATTCCCAGGGGGCCCACACAGTGTTTGGATGGTATATATACTGCTTGATAGTGACCTTAAAATGAGTTTTTTAGTCATAGCCTTATAATATGTATATAAATATAGACAAGGGGCATTACTCGCTAAATAGAGAATTTTCGACCAACCACAAGTTCATGCGAGATTTTCCTCTTATTAAATAAAATATTTCCAAAAACTATACTGCGTTGCATAGCTTATTCAATCCACAATTGATTAAACACTAACTATTTTCTGATTCCCTTAGCCCATTTTAAGAAATTTTTTCAAAACCCGTTGCACTTCAGTCACAAAATTGCTTAGTCGTACGAGATGTCCGCAACACCAATTTCTACGGGTAAAATATCAATTTTAAATGGGGGAGGTAAAAACAAACGCATGCAAACAATAACTCAACATAGTTTCTATTACCTACCTGCGCAAATAGTCGTGAAGCGCTTCAGACATTCGCCTGTTTAGAACGAAATCTTCAAATCAGAGCAGAATTCTGCATCGACGTAGACATGCTTGGGAAACCCCGGTCACGTGACCAGCCGGTGTATCGAGTCATTTCCTTGGTTCTCGCTCAAGGCGATATGGTTCCCGGTTTTCCACGTAAAATGCAATGTGAGAAGAGTAAACAATAAACCGGATGTATACATCAGCTGTTTTTGTAAAAACGCACATTTTTCTTCGTGAAAATGAACTTTTATCAGCAAAGGGCCGTTGATATCTCCACTGTAGGTCATAATCTTCTTCTGTTAGGTAGAGCTGGAACTGGAAATTTTTTGTGTTAAAAGAAATTGTCAAACGCCTTCGGAATAAGGGAAAAAACAGGTGAAATTTTGTTCAAAAGGGGATAGCATGTTTTTTTACGTGAGAATGATGTCCTCCATGTTTCCGGGAATTCTGACGGGCGTATGGGCCGGGGAAATTTTTAGCGTTTAAAATAACAGGAAATATGAGTATGTGCTTTACAAAATTTCAAAAATTTATCTGTATTCTAGGAAGTTTAATGATAAATCAAAATTATTTTCACAAACAACAATGTATGCAAAATCAAAGATCCAAAATCTTTTGGTGGGAAATTTAAAAGTTTTTTCGGGATTTTCAAATTTCCTCCGTGAAAATTTCCCTTTTGGGGGCAGGCCGGTACGTTTTTAATCAAATTTTCTACCCGTTTTCCACACAGAGTATATTAGAAGAAAAAAATGAATCAAGGATCAAAACCCATTTTCAATAGTCAAATGGAAATTTTTTTTTGCTATTAAAATGTTATAAATTTTAGTAAAATTCTTTGCCCCATTTTCAGGTGTACACAGTCCAAGACTGAATAGAGACCTAGATACCCACAATAGACATGGCAGTCAAAACCCATTGAAACCCTGCCTTTGGTCTAACTATACAAGATAAAGCTCAAGGCATGACACCGCCTTTTCAAATGAGAGGTAAACATTATATTAAAATGTATAAATATATGTTTTTTCAAAAAAATTTCTTTACAAGGGGAAAATATAAAAATAACTTTAAAGATTTTCTATAAAACAAAGATTTTTTTAACCAAACATCCAGAAAGAAATGATTAAAGTGTAGATATTGTTTCAGCAGGTTATATTTATCAGACCCTTTCTTAATGATATAAGATATAAAATTTAAAAAAAGTATAGCCCTAAATAAATATAACAAATATACACTATAATACTTGAATGCCATGTAATTATTGTCTATTTATAAAGGCCATAGATGGTAGTAAAATTACTAACTTAAAAAAATGAAGGGAAGAAATAGAATGTCTAACTTTAAAAACATTATACCTTAAAGCTTGGCGTAATAAAAAATTAACACAGTTGTTTAAAAACATTCAAGATTTTAACTAGAAGTTACATCCACTTTTAAATACTAAGAAACTGAAGAAAATTGTATTTTTTGGACACACACTGTATTAATACTGTGTTCACCTGTGGTATTTGCTTACTCATACAATTTTATTTTATAATTTCATTGGGATTGTGTAACAGTTATTTAAATTACACATACATTTATATAAAATATCAGAATATTAAAAAATGAAATAAAGTATCATTCCTTACCATATTTTACTGTCATTTCAGAGCAGAAATTGACTGTAGGAACATCTTTCAGGCAGGTCAGCTTGGTGTGGCAATGTCGAGAGTAACCAAAGCAGCAGGTCTTCGTGTAATAAACTACCACCCACGATATGTCTTTCCACCACCCCAATCTGTAAAAGATTTCATGAATGAGATGTCTAATCCCACTGCCCCAGACTTAAAATGCTGCATTTATTACAGGTAATGTAGAATGACTTTTGTATGTTGATTTCATTTGCAAGTGTTTCTTATGTAGTTGTAGACTTTTTGGGAGGCTCATCTTAATACAGTTTGGAATATTATGATTGCTTACTAAATGCAACAAGAAATGGTATTTTATAAATTTGCAATGTAAAATAGGTATCACCTCTATTTAGCAATCATCAGACTAATGCGACCAGTACAAACAGTTTCAAAATTATTGTTTATATATGTGCTGAGTTATGCAATTAAAATATCTCAAAAACTATAAAAATGTTTCACTTGAAACTTAAAAAAGTCAATTGATTACATTTTTTTTAAATAATTGAATCATGCCCCATAATTATGCTTTTGCATTATCACAGAGTTATGCCCCCTTTGGATATTTTTTTGAAGTCAAATATCTAAATAGCTATCAAAGCTTTTTACTTAATTATTTTAAATAAATTTAATGATTTATAATTCATCATAAATTCTTTTATTGATAGAATAACTTCCCATTATTCTGAATTGAATATGAGATACATGTAGTTATGCTCCCTTTTCAACTTAGAATGTTTTGGCTTAGTCAGTTCATAAAGCTTTTATTGTAGTGTCAAGCACTGATAAATGTCAACCACACTATCTTTCTGAAAGCTCTTGTTTTAACCTGTATTCAGCAGAAACCTGTGTTGAAAAGCCAATTTTTGTGACTCCCTTGACTGGCTTCCTAACACAGGTTATACTGTATGAAATTAAGTTTTTGTGTTCCTATTACAAAATCACGAAATCCGCTTACCTTTATACTCTTATAACTTTGAAGTTTGAACTACTGCTGCTGGCCGTAGCTGGTGTTTTTTTCCTATTATTTTTCTTAAGCTGCACAGTGAAGGGGACTTCAGTCACACTCGAATGTCCTGCATTTGATTTCCTGGATACAACATTTTGACCTGTCAGTATACTATTGATGGTTCTTCTGTATTGCAGAGCATTGGGGTTACTATTTGCACCATTGTAAGTTGAACGTTGTTGATTAAAGATATTTTCTATTACGTCAGAGTTGATTAAAGCTGGGGTAATATGGATGTTGCTTGATCGTTTCAGTACTGTGCGACATAATAGCACAAAGCCTTGGATACAGGCTTGTATGTCTTCGTGACATTGTTGAGACATCAACACTTTTTTAGGTTTATTTTCTTTTTCATTTCCAAATTTTTCCCATTCTAAAAACCATACACTTATTTCATTTAGTGTCACAAGTCTGGGATCATTAATAGTTGTTATTGGTTTAAAATCGCGAAATATTGAGATGAGTTGGGATGTTTTCTCTAGAAGTTTAATTGCACCATCAAATATTTCTCCCTTTTCACCTAGTGTGTTCTTATACCTAGTAAATAAATTAAGCATTTCGGAATTGAGCACTTCCTCTGCAAGGTGGTTCCTCATTTTCTGCTGATTATCTGGGAACATGTGTTCATTAGAAAGTTTTCTATGTAATTGCAAGCTATTCTGTGTATCCCATCTATAGCAGTCTACAAACATATTCCATTGTATAGTAGAACCATTTATTAAAGTTAGATTACGAGTGAATTTTTGCTTGGTACCAGTTTGACTTATTCCACTCTTCAAAATATTATTTCTGATTTTTTTCAAAACATGTGAAATATCCATGGTGAAGATTACTGTTTGAGATGTCGTTGGACTTTTTGATGTAAATTTATAATTTAAGTTAGAGTTGTCACCAACACACAAATGCATAAAAGAGCGGTTACAAACTGCACCATCCATACATGTGTAAATTACATGAAAACCATATGTCCAAAGATGTTGCACTGCTTTCCAAAAAATGCTATATAACTCAGATGCCTGGACCCCATCACTTACAAAATGAGCAAAAGGAAAGCGGAACCCAGTTACTCCCAGAAACAGCATTTGCAGTATATGAGTCCCTAAAGTATTGTCTACATTTCCTTTTCTGAGGATGTTACACTTGTCCCCTTCCACACCCAAGTCAGTGAAACCCACTAACTCAACAACATCACCATTTTTTGAAATTTGTATGTCAGATTGAATTGACATCTCGTCAAATATGAGTCCTCCCACCATTCCTTCGTCAGGGATTCCTTTTCTTTTTGCTTCTTCGAACATCCATTCAAACATTGTATGATCAAAACCGGGATCTTGTTTCAGTTTACTTTTGTATAAAACTAGTGTGGATGCTGATGGAAGAATGAGAATCTTTGAAGACAACAGTAGTTCATAACTGTGTGGACTTCTATTATAAATCTGTAGGCATGTCCCTATAAATGATTTCGACCACCGCCTGCCTCTTGGGTCTCTTGAAATATTGTCTGATTGTTCTAAAAATAAGCTTACTAATTCAGGATTTGCATGTTTTAACAGGTGTTTAATTCTTGTAACTTTATCATCATTAACATCATTGCTTTGGCCTGAACATGGACTTTTATTTTCTTTGTCTGGGGTTGAAAATGTCATTGTTCTACAAGTTCTACATGTCTTGCTTTGTGAAGCAAATCCAACAACGCCATTACAGGTTACAGATCTAATTGTTCTTACTGCAGGTTTTGATTCAGAGACCTGAAATTTGTCCATTGTGTGAAACCTACTCATTAAAATAGATTGCTTGTGTATTATTCCTTCACAAATATGAAGGTTCTGCACTAAAGAACATACACCATTTATACTTGATTCACAATATTCAAATGTATTGTCAATGTCAATCTTACTCAAATCAACAATCCTGCCAAAAACATTAAGTTCCCAGGTGCCATTGTCATGGAATGATACTGTTTTAATCACTTTATTTCCATTGGCAATACAGTTGCTTTCTATATGACATGACACAATTTTATCTGTTGCCTTATTTATAGTGTATATGTGAGGTATTTGCTTCACAATATCTTCAAGAGAATATTCAGTTGATTTAATTGGTGCCATTGGCTTTAGAGAAACTCCTCTATATAATGTCAACCATTTACCACTATGTCCTCTCTTTCTTACACGTTTAACATGTGGAAAAATTTCTGTCAAAACTTCAATAAGCACTCTCATTCCAACAATAGGCTGAGGAGACCTGTTTTCTGTCTCTATTTGTTCCAGTTTATATGTGTTATATAACACATTAACTTCAATTTCACTTTCTGCATCAGAATGCAAACGTGACATTATCCTGGAAAGAGATATAATTATATTTGAATGCATTTGTTGTTTTGCTACAATTCTTTTTATTAAATAGAGGGAAGATTATTCCAAAAGCAAGAAAGATAGAGTTATGGTTCTTAAAGCAGCATGCCTCCAGATTCATGCTGATTTTCATGAAAATTTTGAAAATGTATTTGAATGTGTAATATTGTGAAGTAACCAAAAGGGAGCAATTTAAACGTTATCAATCACACTTACAAACCACGTAAAATACCATTAAGTGGTCAAAATATGCATAAATAGCCTTTACTGCATTAGTAACGCAGTCGAAATTTAGTTGTTAATACTGAAAAATCAGTCATTAATCCCACATTATCTGTAAAGTATTAATTGAATCTTGAAACCTTTTACTTTTCCTTACATCTTAGTACATTTTTCTCAAGTTTGACTTTATTGAAATATTTTGACTCATCTGGAGGCATGTAGCTTTAAACACTGTACTCCTCTTGTCATTTATTTATATTTTAAAGCTACTTTCCCACATATTGTTGCTTTAATTTCAATAGGAATGGGCATTAACATCACCATATCTGTTAACAGTTATAAAGCATGTGTAAAAGTAAAACTTATCAGTTTCCACCAGATTAACATGTATTAACAATTGTTTTGCTTAACTCAAAAGATGTGTAAATACCATTGCCTATACTTTGATCAATTTTTGTCAATATTTCAAAATAAAGCGTTGCAACGGTTTAAAAATTTAAAAACTTTTCAACAAAATCACCATATGGTTATGAAAACAAAGTTATTTTGCTGTTTTTAAATATTTACAAATTTTTTCATTGAATATATAGCTAGATACACTTTAAACAAACAATATCTTTCTAGGCCACAATTATTTATTTACATGTTTCATGTCATTTCTATAATATTAAAGTAAAAATATCTTTCCATTTACAGTACCCCAGATATTATTCAGTCGAGGATGGAGGTAGAATCAGAAAAATCCTTGACAGATGATGTCACTGTTCCAAAAAATGTTGACATAGAAGACATTGATATTGAAAATGATGAAGAAGAATTTGACAGTGAATTTGATAATGTTATACAGAATATAATTCATGAGGAAAATGAAGCATCAGATTTCAATATTCCACAAGGATTTGATATTGAAAGTGTCATGCAAAACATGACTTACAAAAAGGAAGTGACACAAACCCATACTATTATAAATGGAATTATCAGAGGTATTGATAAACCTAGGTTAACTAAGTTTGTGAAAAAAATGTTTCTAAAAATTGCTAGTTTTGTAACAAAATTAACTGGGAACAAGACAGCGTCATGTGGCATTCCAGAAAAAAATATTGTAAGCTTTTATCGGGAAGTGCATGAGTACAGTACAGGGGGTGATTATAATCTTAGTTGTTTAACATTGTTTGAGAATGAAGAATTTTCAGATAACCACATGATTGTGTGCTACAATGTATTAGAAGCAGTCAGGTTGTTTTTCCTGAAAGAGAAAGTTGATTTACTGGAAATAGGAAAGAGAAACATTATGAAAAGACATATAACTGATGCTTCAAGGGCACGTGTGCGTTATGTTGCAGGGTATTGTCTGGCATCTCTAAGGAAAAAATATACTCGTATGCAAAAAAGTCATTTGTGTGACAAATCTAAGCAGGGCCAGGACATTTATAATGATGCAAAGTGGATTGTTTTCATTCTTAACCTTCTACAAGAACATGAGTTCTATTTAAAAGAACACACTGAAGAGCCTGAATCATTAATCGATGTTGAAAGAAGACAGTACACTTCAAGAGGTTTAACAAATGTAAGTGACAGTCTTTTTAAATTTTTTGTAAAACTTACTGATGTCTGTTTAAACCTTTTAGTTCGTGAGAATCTTATGAAGTGTGGAAAGAACATGTATAAAAAGTGTTTTGAAATTTTAAACTCTGACTCTTTATTGTATGAACAGTTTGCAAATGTAATTGCAACAAGTTATTCAAAACAACCAATGGAGGAGTTTGGTGAAAATATGCAGGTTAGCATTACAGTTGAGAAAATGGTCCTCATTTCATCTCTTGTGAACAAAATCTTCAATGAATTTACAGAAAAATACCTTATGGTTCTTTTTGCACAATTCAGAAAAGATGTTAAATCAGCTTTTAGAATTGAGAAAACAATGGCACATAGAAAACAAATAAAAGCTTCTAAAAGAACAATTGAATCTCAACAAAGTTCTCAGCAACAAAACTCAAAAAAAAAGTCATTGGAAAATGTAAATTTGGAGCCTCAGCCAGGGTGTTCTACTCAAAATCTACAGATTGAGCCTCAACCAGGGACTTCAACTCAAGATGAACTGCAGTTAGACACTGTTGATGACTCAACTGATTTATGTCAATTATGTTTCACTGATAAAAATGATGAATGGATCCTTTGTGAGTCATGTAATGGTTGGTATCACAGAAAATGTGCAGGGTTAAAAAACGCTAGACAGTGGAAAAAATTCAGTAAAGAAGGAGTCATATGGTTGTGCAAAACATGCCAGTAAATGCTGTCAGTACTTGTACTGTACTCAAAAAGTCGTAATATATAAGTCATTTAATGTGTGCATTATTATTTACCAATTTGAACTCATTTCCTTGGTTTTCTACGCTTTATCGTCAAGAAAATTTATAAGCAACTATGTACTGTTTAAAAATTCCGCCAATATGCACATTGTTTACATGTGGCATTAACCCGGCTAATGTACTTACCGCTTTAACTTATACCGGGAACCATATCGCCTTGAGCGAGAACCAATGAAAGGACTCGATACACCGGCTGGTCACGTGACCGGGGTTTCCCAAGATGTCTACGTCGATGCAGAATTCTGCTCTGATTTGAAGATTTCGTTCTAAACAGGCGAATGTTGAGCGCTTCACGACTATTTGCGCAGGTAGGTAATAGAAACTATGTTGAGTTATTGTTTGCATGCGTTTGTTTGTACCTCCCCCATTTAAAATTGATATTTTACCCGTAGAAATTGGTGTTGCGACATCTCGTACGACTAAGCAATTTTGTGACTGAAGTGAACGGTTTTGAAAAAATTTCTTAAAATGGGCTAAGGGAATCAGAAAATAGTTAGTGTTTATCAATTGTGGATTGAATAAGCTATGCAACGCAGTATAGTTTTTGGAAATATTTTATTTAATAAGAGGAATAATCTCGCATGAACTTGTGGTTGGTCGAAAATTCTCTATTTAGCGAGTAATGCCCCTTGTCTATATTTATATACATATTATAAGGCTATGACTAAAAACTCATTTTAAGGTCACTATCAAGCAGTATATACCATCCAAACACTGTGTGGGCCCCCTGTGTATTTAATGTGTGGCCTTTATTTTACGCAAGGATTTAGAAAATATTAAATTGTCTCCCGAATCTACATAAGTCAGTCTCAAGAGCAAAGCACTCTTTTTTTATCAAGAAGCATCCAATAGGAAACCCCTTAGTATTCTTATTTCTTCTGTAACAAAATACCATAAATTGTAGGGATGTTTTGGTTAATATTATTATTTTGATTTTTGCTTTTTTTTTTCAATTTCTTTTTTGCTTAGTTAGAATGTATTTGTTATAGACATGAAACTCATGTGCATGATATAATTAATATGAAACAATGTCAAAGAGCCAGAAAAGTGCTGCAAAATTTGAGACGATCTCTTTCTCAGAGAATTACTTTAACAATTTGTTAAATACGCACAGCAAGTACAATGCTATAAAACATGTTTCCCTGATGATAATTATCATAGTTTGGAAGATGAACAATGGTGCTAGATGAACCTAATTATAAATAACAAATATATTTAAGCTAGGAATAACTGGTTCAATTATGTCGTAACTGCAATGTATAATTTACAAGCCACAGTCATTAACATATATTGACAAATGCTATTTTATTACAAGGGTAATAAAAATAATCCGAAAGGCGTTCTCGCCAAACGCACAAGATTGATGCAAATAAAACCAAGTAAATTACATGTATCTGTTCCTGCGTTAATATTACCCACTACTAATAAATAATACTGTGCGTTTTGTGACGTTCAAACTGTGGAGTCTACAAATTTAGGAATTATTTTCTTCTATGATAATAGAAAGTAGCTGTGACGAGATAAAGTTTCGTTATAAAGTCCTTTGAAACGCTTTATTACAGGGCCTTATGTTTTTTTTAGATATATAGTATTGTATATTCTAGTAAGCATATGTCTTAGGACCCCATTGGAAATAAGCCTTCTGGCTTTCATGGGCAATCAGAGGTTATTGCGACCTACTTTATACATGTTTTTACTTTACTTACATAGTCTCATTCTCAATATTTTGTAAATTAATATCAGTAGTCAAAGAAAAATGATATAGATTTGCCCTGGTCTAAATTGTAATTTTTAGCTATTTATTATTTTATAAGCCTCCTGTGATAGTTATGTTTGACAAACTTCCGAAATATTTTATAACAATTTTGTTTAATACCATTTTTATATAAAAATGCATAAGTGTATGTATTATGTATATGAGTGTTTTAACCTAAATACATATTTATCTATCTCAATCTGTATATAGAATAGAAAGACATATGTATTGTTGTATTGTAGCATAATGCTTGCTGTAGGAATAAAATTGATTTCTCATATTCCTAAATGTAATATTTTAGATCTTATTCACGTGATGTACATGTATATAATTTGGTTTTAATGCATAACATAGATTACATGTTTCTTACAAGTTTCGATGGCACTTTCAAATAACTGATATATATTGGGTGCCGGTAGCGGAAACCCTAAAGTCATGACGTCAACATATTCATGCTGTGAAATTGCTCGCACAAGAAGCTTTATATTATGTTTTAAACAGGAAGTGCACAAAAATATAACTATTTTTACACCAATATACTTTTGTAATAACGAAGATGCTTATTACGGCTATACTTCCGCGCACAAAAACAGTTCGGCTTCTATAACATTATAAAACAATTGATACAACAATATGTCAATGTAATATTTTAGCAGTTAACTAAATATAGACAAAAGTTATTCGTGTTTTTCAACTAAAGAGGACAATTATGCAATTGACACATTTTCCATAAGTATATCAAATATTGATAAAATCAATTGATATGTATCATTCAACGTATTGTTTGGACATAACCATCACACATTTCTTGGAAGAATTGTTAATAAAGTTCTAAGTGATAGAGTATGATCATTACTTTGTTTATTAATAATATTTTGTATTTGAACAATTCGTTTTCTCTATATATAGATATATTATCGGATCCCGTGCATCACATTTACACCAACAACATCCATTTTATATAATTATCTCGTGGTATGTTGTCACGAATGATACTTAATACTAATAACATAATTATTCATGGTATTTATAGACATTCGATTTCGGAACACTTTAGTTAAATGTCTAACGAAACTTGAAATTGTTTGTTTCGAGTGTTGCTCGCACTTTATGTTTCCGCTTTTTATATGCATTTTTATATCAATATTTTATGTAGGCAAAGACATTATGCATTTTGCAATGATAAACAATAATAACGTCTACACATACTGAGTATAAACATATCAATAAAAACGTAAAACATAAAAATACCAGAATAGTAATATTACATTAAATAATACCACGGTCATGAAATAGTTACTATCAAAATAAAATAAATAATGTTTGAAAAAGTTTCAATTAGCTACCAGTTGTTTCTCTAACTAAAGTTTCATAGTAGACATTTTCTGTATACCATTCTGTTGCGAGTTATTCATTAACATGTTAAATTTTTGTGCATTCAGTCAGGAACAGTTGTATTGTGGTAGGTATTCTGTTCGTAGATCAATGTAATACTGACAAGCATGTAAAAATGATATTCAGTTTCCATTACATTCATATTACATTTTTAACAAAATTGTTGATTTTTTAAATCTTATTAGATACACTTCACGAGATACTATGTAAACCACATCTGTTCTGATCAACACATGATTAATGGCTTTTCCTTATTGTAGTTTCTCCCTCGTTACATTTATGGTTGTAATAAATCACCATGAAAAAGTAACAAAGCCATGTAACAAATAACTTAGTTTCTGATCGGTAGGTATAATCGGCCAGGATCTCTTATCCTCAATTAAGCATTTTGGTTTTCTTGGTTAAAATGAAAAATAAGGTTTCCGGAAATGCTTTGGGATAGAGTGTTAATTGCTGTTATTCTTGGAAACCTCTCTTCTAACAACATGGTTAATGTATGCAAAAGTAATTTCAAGCTTCGTCGAGCATAAACTGCTTGTAGCACATTTAAGCCAAAATAACGCTTGATTTGTTGACAGACTGATTTAAGAATAATGTTAAACACAAAACTGTATGTGCTAATTACACATGACCGCGGAAAATATGTATCCCCTGTCCAGCAATGATGTGATTTTTCCGGTATGAAATATGTTTTGTTAATTACTGAAAAGTTACAAATTTATTTTTTATGAACAATTTCTCATATATCTCTAAAATAATCCTCGAGAAATTCACCTCCCCCATCACAGCCCCTAAAAAATCAAACAAACATACAAACAGAAAAGAAATTAATAATTAAAATGAACAAACAAACAAAAACAGTTGATATAAAACAAGCATAAACAAGAAAAAAATAACTTATACAACAAAACAACATTTTTTTTGCATATACAGTTGTTTATTATACAGGGAAAAACAAAGAACAAAAAAAGAGAAAATTACAAGCAAACAATTTACAATTTTAAAGATCCTGTGTGATGTAATTAATGTTGTTATCTCACTTAGTGAAATTTTATATATGTATATAATTATGCTTCTAAAACAATTTTCAAACATGCAAATATTTGTCCACCTTATATGTAATCTTTAAAATATATGCACTCACTTAGACTTTATAGAAAATAAATTTCTAAGTTCCTCACTTTATTTACACGAAATGTAAATTCGGTAATATCTTTACAAATCATGCTTTTTGGAACTTCCAATATTGATAAATCTTCATTTGAACATTATTTTTATGATATAAAACCATAAAAAAAATGTGTAACAGGATCCTTAAAAGTACAAACTGGCTTATTCTCCGCTTCTTTGCCCATTGTTACTGAAAACAGAATAGTTTTTACGTCAGAAATATAAGGTAATTATTTTACCTGCAATTTCCTAAAACCTGATTCATCAAATATTTACAATAATTGACCGAACACCTTTTGTTCAATAATAAAAGAAAATAATTGAGACCTTAATGGTACATATTTATTACATATTTTATGAAATGGAGAATAACGGAATCCCCAAAGAATTCCCCACAACGACAAAAATAAAAATGTTGCAGGCCAGGTTAGACTGAGTCTGTTCATGGACAAAACTGGAAAGTGCAAACTATCGTTCACGCCAACAAGCCTACTTAAGCAGAACATGAAAATGTTGAAATTTAAAATTTATAAACCGCAGCTGATCATAGTTTTGAAAAATCACATGAGCATTTAGTCATCACTACTTTTGTTTTTTCATAGAATGGGATTTTCTTATTTTAGTAGAGCCGACATTTCATATACCCTTTGTACAGGAAAGGACGTTTTTAAGTACATTAAAATCTTCAATAATTTGACGTTTCAAATTTTTGCTTTGTTAGAGACAGAAATTTGACGTATTTGTTTTGTAAAAATAGCCGTAATGTTAGATAATCAAGATGTTTAATAATGGAACTTTTTATACAAACTTTTAGGACTACCATCGTGTACCAAAACATGTAAAAAAACATTTCAACTATTTAAACATATACAGCACGAACTATGCACATCTAAATCACGGATTCGTTATCCTTTTATTTTTCTGTAAACTCACCAACATTGAAATATGAAAAGTAATATGAAGAAGGAAGGGCGGCATTTGTTAAACGCATCTCCAAACATAGCACCGGCATGAAGCCAGCTGGACACCAAACTGGACAGGGCACACAGGCAAAACAACGTTCGGGATCTTAGTATAAACCATTTAGATATGTCTTCATCATCGAGTTTTCCAAATAATTCACATGTAGTTTACAGTGATCTTTGTTTGAAACTTTGAAAATATCTATTTATTTTTCTTTTAATTTCTTTATCTATGTAATAAAGATGTGAATAAGCAAACACTCGCGTGATAACGTATGAAACATAACTGTGCAAAGTTTACCAAGTTTGTCCGCAACTTTAGAACTCGACATACCATTTTCTTGAACCACTACGTTTCTATGAATTTATTATTATTGCAATGAAAATACAAAAGTTTCAATTTAAATCACTACCCATTTCATTAGAATACAATCTCTGAAACCAACTTTATAATAATTGTAGCAAATTTATATAAACGGTATCGTGTTCGACTTACATTCGTCAAATACAATAACATTTAATTACAACCGATTGTCGGACGGACACAAGCACATAACCTACCTTGCCAAATTTGCTCGCCATCTAGATGTTCGATCAATTATTGTACATCATTTGTGTTTATATATCTAAAAAATAGTAATTGCAAAATAAGTATTCTTAATAATGACCCGACAAATTCGCAAAAATTGTCTATAATTCAACAATGCAGGCCAGTAGCATGCAGATGCCATTGTTTATGACCTCGTTTATTTATTAATAAATATTATATCATATCTAATCATTTTAGACTTTTCCTAAAATTTTGTACCAATTAAGACAATGTCCTAGCGGAAATTGGTATACTAACTACGGCAATTAAGGAGATAAAAATGATACAAACGTATTATACATATTGGATTTGTGAAGCTTAATACACTATTGGTAAATATATTTAAATATGTTGCTTTTCGCTAACGTCTCTTATTAGACGTGATCTTCTCTTGCAGAGTGGTAGTTATCGGTGCGATCAAAACAGTTAGGCTTAGCACATTGAAATTGGTGTATTTTTGATTTGTTTCTGGATTGAGTTATAACTATTTCAACTTACAACAGCTTTTAATTTCTTGGTATAATTGAATATGTAAGGATTGAAAGAAAGGTCTGTATATTTTGATTATAGATATTCATTTTTTAATGACGATATGGAATTAGATTGTTTCTTTTTAATATATGCGAATTTTGAAAATGAAATGTGAAATGAATAGTATAAAATATATGAACATATTGACAAAGTACTTTAACTTTTTATATTGCATTTGAATTTGGCACATTTATAATTATCATAAAGAAAAATATTGGTTAGATCATTAACATGGTTTAATATAACTGCATATAATATATAATATAATTATAAAAAAAGATACATAAATATAGTATTACGTAAAAAGTATCAAACATTCAAACATAAGAAATTGAAAGTAATTATTTTATTTAATAAACGGAGTAAATTTGTGTTATAAGGTTGATGTTTTTTTAAAAGGAATTACTGAGAAATGTTTTGTATAAGAACAAGTTACTTCTATTCAAGTCGTTGTTGTAAAGGAACATTTAAAATCTAATTAATATACAACGTAATGAATTATGATTCAATGTCTCCTTATTAAATAGGTTTTCTCGCTCTCATGTCTGTTTTATCATGTCCACGTTATTAAATGATTAATTTAGATTTTATCTGAACTTAATGTTAATTAGAAAAATTATCTCAGTGACACTGTGCTCATTGTTTCGCACTCAAGTTTGAGTTGGAAAAGTAATATATTTCAAAAGATTTACTATTATTATGATGATGATAAATGTTATGATACAATATGAAAACTACCTTAATTGTAAAGAATACTGCCAAACTCTTTTTTGCGTTACCAATACATTCTGACCAACATTCATAGAAAAAATACCATTGGTCACGTGGGTTGTTGATTTTTCTTTTCATATTAAAATATAAAATTTAAAGCATACTGCCAAAATGTTAAGTTATTATTTTTACACCAATGTTCACTGATCATTTACACTGTAACTGGCATTAATCTCATTTTAATTAAGAAACAGTAAGTAAGTTTAATAAGAGTTTATGGGCTACGTAATAAAAGGAATATAAGGAGCCGTTTTACTCTGTTCCTTTGTTGCAGAGAAATTCTTTATAACAAAGAATGTTGAGAATTACTAGCTTTCTTAAATGACAGATAATGTATTTTTTAGATATAAACAAAACAATTGTGTGTCAATGCCAGAAAGGGTTTTTTTGTTATATTTTGATGGAATTACAAATTTAATTAGTACTTTGTATTTCATTTATCGTACATATTATGAATGATATCAAACAAAATCATATTATTTATCTGTGCATCTTATAAGTATCATATTTATTCCATCTTTGCTTGCATTTCTACATTACTATCGGCATTGAGCTGGCCTTTCTTTTGATTTATTGTTACGAAGACTGTCCCTGCAACAAATTAATACCAGTTTTGTCCCAAATTTGCCCACTAGTGTCTTAGTCTTTAGTCCGCAACTACAGTTTTTTATATTCATGCTTTAACAACAACAACAAAAATAAAAACTAAAAACAATAAATTAAAAACCAATAGCAACAACAAAATAATACCCAAAATAAACAATAAAATAAACAAACAACAAACAAAACAAACACCAAAAAAAGCAGACGACATTCCTCCACTTCGTTAACTAAAACAAGCTGTCTCTGTGGCGTGCGCTAATTTTAGATAACATATGTAAAATCCCTGGCGGCAAAACATCAAACATTTATAACGTAATAATATAATATATCATAAATATTATTTATAATTCTAAATGCATTATATATGTTACATAGATTATTCCAATTTTATAGCATGCTTTTCAGTAGATTTTGAAACATTAACCGAAATCGTTTCTTCTTCTTCTCTATAACGTTTTAAGCGTTCAGTTAAGGGTTGACCCTTTTTATTACTGTTTAGTATATGGAACCATTAACAAATATTACACAAATATATATTTTAAAGTAAAATATTTGAGATTATTGTCATTGGTATTGAATTATTTTTGAGTATTTTCCGGTTAGCTTTCGGTTTCGTGTACAGAACCCCCAATTCTTCCAATTTCTGAAAAAATAACATCATTTGTTTTAAGAATATTATATTATATTTAAGAAAATCTTAAAAATAAATGAAATGAAAGTTTTGAAAAGAACCCAAAAACGCGAAAATGAAAATTTTGCATTCTCGGTTTGATTAAGTATGAGCGGAAGTGAACAATGCAATCTTCACTTGACCCTAGCACCGGCCTGAACAGATCTTGAAATTTCATCATGAAATCGGTAAAATAGTTAAAGCGACAAAACCTTAGACTGATTTATTTTACTTATAATTCTTTATTGTTCTATTGAAACATAATGATAAATATAAGTGCTTTACTATGTGATACTTGAAATAAATATATTATTACTTTTACATTCAATAAATTCCTTTAAAAAAAAAAAGACTTGTAAATTCGAGCCTTTTATATTAGTAGTGTAAATATTTAACTCTTTGGCAACAATTATTGATGGCATTTGGAACGCAACACCAAAAAAAAGCCGATTGACCAAAAATCGCAAAAATGAAATGACCTGTTCGTTCATGGTAAGTGCAAGTTACCGTCTGCGCCCCCTGGCACCGTCTGAGACATTATTCAACATTTACAGGCAACAATGGAAAAGTCAGAGTCGTATCAAAAAGTACAAATGTATTTTTAGAACAGCAACCATTTTAAATGGTTCATAAATTTTGTACTTAATAGCAAATCTTATTTTCTTTACAAGTACATATAATTATATTATTGACTTCATAATATTACTTTACTTTAATGTAAACAAAATATTTAAATCACATTTTCGTACTCGTAAAGAAAATTTTGCCAACAGTTTATTTATTGTTTGTCTTATTATTTTATGATTTCTCTGAATTGCGCTTCATTATTGTCAGAAGCAATATAAGCTTAAGTTAAGAACCTGGTGCTTTTCATCATTGTATTGAAAAGTAGAATTCATTATAATAAATAAAAGATGATAACTTAATACATTGTTGGAAAAATTTGAGTAGATTTTGCATTAGTTCAGGTCTCTACAAATTGAATTGGATTATGTAAGTGTTCGAGCAGAAACACAAATAATGTGATGCTAAGAACACTTCAAATCTTTAAATGATTCATTGCCATTTTAAAACACAGAAAGGTAAGATTGTGTGGATTCCATAGATAGAAGAATAAGAAGAAACATTGAAAGAAGTCTATCCGAAATAATTAATTTGAAATAATATCGTTCAGCATGAATAAGAATAAAACAAGTATTCTGTGCATTGACTAAAAAAGTAAACAAAATTCCCGAAAAAAATGAAAAATACCACATCTTTTAACATATGGTCACGTAACTAGAAATATTGAAACCTTGGAAGGGAGAAATTGTGTTGTCACCTGCTCCCTCTTTTATTCAATTATCTTTGTATAACGCACACTACTTTACACGAATTCATAGCAAGGTAACTTGATATACAGTTATCGGTATTCCTATACAGTTTCTGAAGAAGATAATTTTAATACTAGAAACATTTCTATAAGGTTTTTGTAAGTTGGTTCATTACTATTATTTCGAAATAGATACAACTTACATATAACCTTAAGATGGAAGCATAAATGGTCAATACAATAAGTTTTATATGAAGAGGGATCTGCAAAGATCGGAAAATACATGTATATAACAGCATTGTATATTTGTTGTAATAAATTCTTAGTCAGTGAAGATACACTTACACGGATTCCTATAAGGAATGGGTCAGCATCAAGTGTTCTACTAATTAAGTGTTTAAATTTCTGATACAGTTTCTAGAAAATGCTCTTATAAGTAAGCCTTTTTAGAGTATACGCACTATAGCTATGATATCTAGCATATCATTAGAAGGTTGGTTGATCGGTTTAAGTTTTAAAATATGTTCAAATTGTCTTATTTATTACCTCTAACATGCCAATATGTAATAGGCAATAGTTTTATTTTGTTCATCTAAAGTTTGAACTCCCTTTTAATGTTCAGGACCTTTTGTTTTCAATTGCGCTGTCCGTGCGTGCATTTGTCCGTACATGAGTCGTTTATATTATAATAACTTTTGAAAAGTTTTGTTAATTTGATTTGTATTTTTTTTGTATTTAATTTGTTACCACTGTATACAATGAGCATTAAGTATGCTATAATGAATAAATGAATGATCGTGAGGCTTTCGTTTTACGTTACATTTATTTGTATTCGAATCTTATCATCTGGAAACTGAATGTGAATTGAATGAATGCTGCTGTTCAAACTGCCACTTTTATTTACTTGTTTTCAGTAACTCATATCTCTTGTTTTATAACATGTTACTTAGTCAGAAGGTTCCATTATAATAGCTATTTATATATAATTTGCTTAGTATTAGTTACAAAAAGCAACAACAAAACAAAACAACAAAAAAAAACAAAAAAAAAAACCACAATCAACCATAACGTTGAATCCTGCTTTAACGGGTTCTAGGAAGCATAAACAGTAGCTTGCATATACAATGTACCACTACTGTGTATGAACAGGCTCAATCAAACCTACCCTGCATCATTTTGCCGCTTATGGCGGTCTTTAAGTTTCCAATTGTTGACCATTTCAAAACATATATAGGCCAAGTTCAAACAAGTAACTGGTGTATATATAATATGTCGATTAGTACTGTAACTGGTATCTCGGTATACAGGTGATTATTACATCAATGACGTAAGTTTACCATAAACACTAGAGCGTTTATCACCATAATTTAGGTTATTAAAGTATTAAGTGTTGGATACCGTTCCAATAATCTACATAATTGAGTAATTTAGAACGCTGCCTATTTAATGCATATAAATGTGGTATTGTTCTCTAACGACGTAATTGTAAGAAACCCATAGACTGTGACTGATAACGATAAACTTAAAGATTAGTTCCGAGTTGTATTATTTTTAACATAGAATTTATAGGAGAGAAAAAGAATTTCAACCATACAAAAATGAATTTCTTTGAAAGCAAAGTGGTAACAGCTATAGACGTACATCAAGCGAATGTTGGTTAAT